ATGGTGAAAAGAAGGATCCAGGACCGTGCAAAGACAGGAGAAGAGCAATCCAGGCAGAAGGCTCAGTATGTACAATGAACCAAAGAACAGAGCAAGTTGCGCTGCTTTGAAGGTGTGAAGAGTGTGGTGAAGGATGTATATATATATATAGCAAGTGGTTAGTAGACTATAGACTTTATTCAATGTGTGCTAGGAAGCTATTATTGCATTTTAAGGTAGGGAGGAACATGGTCAGGAAGTAGTTGTATGTGAGGACAGGGAGGGAAACAGAGAAATGAGTTAAGAGGGATATTGGGGTTTTGGTCTAGTTGTGAGCTGTAGTAGGATTAGGGATATATTTCAATATAAAATTGGAAGTATTGAGATGAATTGAGAGATCCTATAAAATGTGAAACAATTTTGGTAACAGTAATTTGTAAGAAAAATCTACCACAAGCTTAGCCTCCCTGTGGCTCATTTTAGTGGAGTTGAGGGCATGACCTAAACAAAAAGCCATGATCAAGTTATAGAAGGAAATGCATGTGACTGGGTTTGCTTCGTACTTTCTGATTCTATTATATTTTGATATTGTTCCTCTGAACCAATTTCTGTGACTTTCATGTGAAGATTGGCAGTAGTGTGAAGTCAGTGAAGAGAAATCACTCAGCAATAACAACATTCATCATACTGGCATTGACGAACAACCCACAGCTACAGATTTTGGTTTTTCATCTTTCTGTTTATCACGTATATATTAAATAAAATTGGGAATCGGATGATAATTTCTCTCACTTTAGTGGATTCTCATATAAAAATAGCTATGTGTTTTTTCTTCAAAATTTCTTATTTTTAGCAATCTCATTTATAACAGCTTGTCTCCCCACATATCTGCACATCATATTAACTGAGAATAGAACTATAACTTTGAATGCATGATTCAGCCAAATTTTTTTATAGTCCTTTTTGGAGCTACAGAAGTTTTTCTCTTGGCCATTATGTCCTATGACCATTATGTGGCCATCTGCAAACCCCTGTATTATGTGACCATCATGAATAGCAGAGTCTGCAGGGTTCTCATCCTCTGCTGTTTGGTGTCTGGCTTATTGATTATCCTACCACCCTTTGGTTTGAGCCTCCGTCTAGAATTTGTCATTGACTATTTTGTCTGTGATGCTTCTCTAATATTGAAGAATTCATGTTCAGCCATATGGTTCATAGAACAGCTGGTTATGGTTTGTGCTGTGCTGACCCTCATAATGGCCCTTGTGTGTGTAGTTCTGTCTTACATATATACCAGTAAGACCATTCTAAATTTGCCTTTTGCCCAACAAAGGAAAAAAGCCTTTTCCACCTGTTCTTCCCACATAATTGTGGTTTCCATCACCTTTGGCCGCTGCATTTTTGTTTATATCAAACTTTCATCAAAGGATGAAGTGTACATAAATAAGGCAGTTTCTCTGCTCACTACATCTGTTGCTGCTTTGTTGAACTC